CCTTTGTCCTTTCTCAGCCCCACGGAGAAGAGAAAAGGACGACGGGGGTCTAGGAAAGAAGGAAAGATTCCGTTCCAACGCGTGGGAAAGAGAAACGCCTGGAAGCACACAGCCCCGGTGGCGCGAGGGGTGTGTGTGTGTGTGTGTGTGCCCGCTGTCTCTGGGACGTGGCCATTCAGACGCCAGTGTCCCGTTTGGGCCCGAGTCAGCAGGAGGACTACCCTTCCCGGCATCGCCTTCAAGAAGAAGCCCTGGGAGAGGAGCGAGTGTAGCTCTCGCTACGGTTCTGATCCTTTGCCGGGGCGCGGAAAGGAGACAAAGGCCGAGTTTTATCCCAAACAAAAGTGAACAATATCCAGATAAATAAACGAAGAGCTATTGTCTCCTTTCGCTTCTAGAATCAGGGCGGGAAAGAGGTTTCCAAGGCTACTACGGCCATTCCTACTACCGTGGTTATCTGAGGAGCCCCTTCTGGGCTCCCTGACTATGCCTTGGCAAGGGGGCGGCCAGGCGCCTTCTCTCCCTTCCAACCTTCCTCGCAACCTTTCTGCAGCCATTTCTCCCTCCGCTGCCATCAAAGGAGGCGCAGAATAAATACTGTACAGTATACGGAAAGAAATCCCTCAGCAACACGTCCAGGCCAGACATCCTCCCGTCGACACTGCTGCGGCGGCTAGGGCTCCCCACCACAGGTGAAAGCGGTCCTCCCGGAGCTCCGGCTCTCTTTCGATGAAAGCCAGTCAGGAGGGAGGGACAAGCCTTCAGGGAGCTAAATTCGAAAATTTTTGGAACAAGGGTAGATAAACATTCAACAATGTTTCTTCGCTACTGAATTCAGTAAGAGGCGGTGTTTAAATCTACTTGCTTTCTTTATTGCGAAGGGGATTTTAAGACTCCTCACTTCGATTTCGTTCGTTGTGAATCGGGCCCACGCCCCAGTATTTCCGCCAAAATCGGCGAGATCCCCTTTCCTCTAGAGCGGCTGGGTTGGACCAAAGGAACGCCGCTTTCCAAGGCTGGCCGAAAAAGCGGTCTCTCGCAACTGACTTTTAACTTCCTCCCGATGCGGGTCTGAGATGCTAATTTAATTCCTGCCCTCGTTGGGTAGAAAGGTAGGAAAGAGTAATCGCAAACAGGAATCCTGGGCAATCTTTTGGCGTGCCAGGGAAGGCGAGAGCAGAAACTTCCTTCAACTGAACGATTTCTTTAAATAGCCCCACTGTACAATGAGTTTGAAAACGGATTTATTTTGCTCCCTTTCTACTGTAGCTCCCTTCACAAGTGGCACCGGCCATTCCAGAAGGCTCTCTTTGTTTTTAGACAACAGCCTCAGGCTCCTTCGCCTTTGTTTTTCAATTAGTCGGAGGGCGCGGTCAGAAGGGTCACGTAAAGAGAATTTTGGAGGCACCGCTCAGAGAACGGGGGTCGGTACCTCTCTGGGAAAATCCTTCTGAGTTCAAAGAGTCTCAAAATCAAAATCGAGCGGCCTATTGCAGTTAGAAATAGGGACGCTGGCAAATGGCAACCACATAAGCTGAAGTCCTGGGCGCAGCAGGTCCCTAACATAAATCTGAAATGTATTCGCGAAGGCTTTCACGGCCGGGATCTAATGGTTGTTGTGGGTTTTTCGGGCTCTTTGGCCGTGTTCTGAAGGTTGTTCTTCCTAACGTTTCCCCAGTCTCTCTGTGGCCATGGGCATCTTCAGAGGACAGCACAAAGACTGGCCACAGAGACGGCGAAACGTTAGGAAGAACCACCTTCAGAACACGGCCAAAGAACCCGAAAAACCCACAACAACCATAAATCTGAAACTAGTATTTTAACAGTAACAAGAACAATATAGAAAAGTTGGAGCCGATGGTTTGCTCTTCGGGTATTTCTGAGGCGGCAAGCTAGAAACTCAGGGGCCGGCAGCTTCTCCTGGTGGTGGGGAGAGGGGCGGGAATGGACGGTTGTCGGCTTTTAGAGGTACTGTGTGTGTGTGTGGGCAAGCGGGCAGGCTGGGTGCGGAGGGCAAGACTGGGGGCCCCGCTGGAGAATTGTTTACCAGGCCCAAGCGCTCTGAGCCGGTGGAGGTGGAAGCTCAAGCTTTTGAGCAGGAGAACGACCTCTCGGGGGATCCGCAGCCCAGGTGGGACACGGGGCTGGGGGAGAAAGACTGCATCTAGGCGGCGTGTGCCTGGTGGAAACAGCCTGAATAATAATCCGCTTCACTTCCGACGGTGTTTTTAAAACCTGTAGGGAGCCCTTTCGTTGAGGTCCGCGGGAGAATATCTTTGTCCTTTGGAGAGGGTCGGTAGGGGAGGAGTGCGCGCACCCGTGCCGGCTTCAGGGAATCGCTTTGGAGAAGCGGGAAGCAACGTTAAACCGGACGCTGGCGGCTCCAGCCGCTTTATACCCACGCATGAAAAAAAGCCGGCACTGCCTGGGAACCCAAGCGCTGCAGCAAACTTGTGGACCAGCCCAGAGAGAGAGAGAGAGAGAGAGTCGGTCTCCTTCGGAGGGGGGGCGGTTAGTCTTGCTATGTGGAAAAGAACGCCATCAACTGACCCCCAAAGGGCAGTCGTTTGCTGGCTGCCCAGCTCCGGCGCGGGTCTTCAGAGGCGGCCGCCGGCGACCATGCCTCTTGGTTCCACTCGCTCTGCTCTCCAGGGAGGGAGAAGCACCAGCAGGCCAGGCCGGTGAAATTACGTGGGCTCCCAGAGGTCCGGATTCTCCCTCGTGGGTCCAGGAAAGAAAGATGAAAAGTCCCATCCAAAGCAGAAAACGAAAATCCAGATTGAAAAAGAGAATCGAGGAGGCTGATAGGCAGAGGGGGCCCTGGAAGGGGACACCAAGGCCAGGCGGGGAAACCCTCAGAAAGGCAGAGAAGCGCCGGGCGCTGGAGAGAGCGACGCCCGAAGGCGCCTCGGTTACGGAAAGGAAAGCTGCGGAGACAGGGAGAGGCTGACGGGTGAGGTTGTCTGTACAGATACAAACCGGGAGGAGAAAGGCAGCTAGATCCCTAGTCATGAGCTACAGAGCGATGTACTGTATCTGCTTATCGACACGGAACGACACGGACACGCAGTCCTCCGTAGACGTTCATGCCGTGTCCTTTCTCTACTGGACTGCCGTTCCTCTCGGATGAAAGGCCTTCCTCCCGCTCGGTGTCTCCCCCAGGGAATTTCCAGAGGGGCAGCAGAACCCACAAAGGGTCTGAGGGCGCTTTGAATACCCACCCCATTTTCCTTGGCTTTCCTGGTCCGGTTCTCTGGCCGGATCCGTCCCCAGAAACCTTCTGCCAAACAAAACGTGCATCTCTCCGAGGCATCGCAAGATTACTTCCATTCCCCCACGCGAGGAAAGCGGGTTTTTAGGAGGGAGGGGAAGAGACAGCCGCACTCCCAGCCTTTGGAGGGAGAGGGTTTACTACAGTACTCTCTTGCTCCGGTACCGTCCTCGGAGGGACCCTTCCCCTTCCCTCTTGACCGCCACAGACTTCTCCTCCCGCCTTGGAGGACTAGCCTTCCCACAGCGCTTGCTCTCTCCCCCCCGGGATGCATGCATCTCCCTCGCCCTCCTCCTATGCAGGGAGACCCTTCCCGCTCTACAGCTGTCATGCCGTGAAAGTCGCCCGTCGCGGGCAGAAGAGCCACCTCCTTCAGGGCTTGGGACCGGCCTCCGCCGCGGCGAGAGGAACCCACCAAGACAAGACTCGGGGTCAGGAGGGGAGGCGGACGGGGCGGCGGCGGGCCCAGAGGCGCTCTTCTCCCCCCGCGGGCCTTACCTTCTGCTGCCTGGAGCACGTTAACCTCCAGCCCTTTGAAGGTCTTGCTGGCCAGTTCCTCCAGGGCACAGAGCGGCGAGGTAGGGGCGGGAAGGCTATTCCCGTTCCGAGGGGGGCCGGTGGAGGCGGTCACCTTGTCCAGGAATACCAGGCGGGCCGAGGGGGCTTTGCGCCCGGAGGGCTTGTTCAGGATGTCCTCGATGCTGAAGGGGGTCAGGGGCTTGTTGGAGTTGGCTGGCGGTGGCAACTGATCTAGCGGGCTCCGGTGCCTCTCTTCCCCGCCGCCCCTACCGCCACCGTCGACCGGCTGCGACGGCGTGGGGGGTGCCTTCCCTTCCGTGGCGGAGGTCATGGCCAGGAGGAGGGGAGGAGGGAGGAAGGAGGCGAGGCGGGAGAGGTCCCCCCAGCTTGCCCAAAGAGCCCGTAGAAGGGAGGAGAGCTCAGCAGCCCCCGGGGGTCATGGCGCGGCGCCCTGGGCAGCGGCCGTTACTGTTGCTGCTGCTGCTGCTTCCATCCCACGGAGGGAATCATCGCTGCCCGCCAGGCAGCTCGGAGCGCCGAGTCTCCCTCCCTGCCTCCGCCCCTCTGCCCACAGGATCCGGGCCTAGAAGCACCGCCTGGAAGCTGGCGCTCCCCCCCCCTTCGCCCATGCCCTGCGCCGCCGTTTGGCGTGGCTTCGTGGGCGGGGGCGTCCCGTCGGGCCTCGAGTAGCCGCTGGCAAGCACGTTTGTGGCCGCCTAGCCCGCGCGGGCGCTTCAGCCTTAAAGGCAGACAGACGAGCAGGGCCATCAAGTGGGCACCTCGGTAGGAGGAGCCAGCGCGGAAGTGTTAGCAAAGTTTCAGAGCCGGAGGGGTGGGGGCGGGAGAGGAGGGGGCCCCATTTTTCTTTCCCCAGGCCACGCCGCAGAATGAGCCACCGCCCTGCGGCTCTGCCTAGCCTCGTAGGCCTCCCTTAGCACCGCGCTGAAGGCCGGTCCCGGCGGCGGGCAACTCTGCGGGCGCCGAGGGAAGAGGAGGATCCCCGCTCCGGTAGGTGTGCTCTTCCCCAGGCTGCCCTTCCTCATCTGGGGGACTCGCTTCAGGCCGAAGAGGAAGGGGCGACAGAAAGGACCCCCTCCCTTTGGGGGAATTGCGCCTGATCGTTTCACGAAGGGTCGATGTGTGTCATCTTCACACGAGAAGACCCTCTCACTCCTGACGTCGCTTCTTCTGTTTCTCCACCCTCACTCCTTAGCTGTGTGAGGGAGGCCAGGTTTTGTGTGTGTGTGCCTGTGTGTGTATGTGTTTAATTAGAGTCGTGGGATGGCCTCCGATGGGCTCAGGATTCGCTTGGGCCTGCGTCTTCCTTGATCTCTGTCTGGAGAACTTCCCCTTTCCTTAATATCGGGGTTCGCCCTGCCTGCATTCTGGGCCAGGGAGCTTTCCTCTAAGCAAAACAATGGGAACCGCCAGAGTAGCTAGAATCTTCTCTGCGGCCCAGAGTAGCCAGAATCTTCCTCTCCCCCTCGCCGCTCCCATTTCTCTTTCGGGCAATGGCTCTTACTCTGAATTCCAACCTATCCTCGCTGCTTTTGCGGTGCGAGTCTGCGGGGCGCTCTGCAAATGGGCCCCGGTCTCCCCAGAATCTTCCTCTTCCCCCTCGCCGCCCCCATTTCTCTTTCGAGCAATGGCTCTTACTCTGAATTCCAACCCATCCTCGCTGCTTTTGCGGTGCGGGCGCTCTGCAAATGGGCCCCGGTCTCCCCGTTTAGGTCTCCTCCCAAAAGCGCAAAATAACCAACCCGCTCCTGGGCCTCCTGAGTCGTTTTTAGATTTTCCTGCTCCCCAAAGGTAGACAGACTGGGGCGAACGAGGCTCCCTTCTGGGCTCCAGACACTTAGGAAGACTTCTGGGCCACAGAGCTGACGGGTCAAAGGGCGACCGTGGATTCTGGTTGTTAAGGCTGTCCCAGTACTCTAAATAGACATACACTTCTTGCTGCTCAGCCTTGTTGATGATGGAGGCGAGGGCGCGGGGCGAACAAGAAATCTGACCTAAAAATTATAAGTCGAGTCCTAAAATTGTAGTGCTGAGCTGACAGGTTTGCAAAATCTGTGATTTTTGATTTCCGGGAAATAAATTGGCAGCTATCGGAGTGGTTTCGAATGGGTGGAGAAGCCTTTCAGAGTGACTCCAGTTGCTCAAATTAGTAAAGGGAGAAAGATGATCTGATTTTTCTTTCGTATTCGTCTAATTTCTAGCTTTATAATTTTATTTGGTCTTTCGCAATTGTGCTTTCTCTACTTTTGCGGCAGCGTGTAGACGAAACTCCTGGTTGCTGTAAGGTAGGTTTTTCCTTGTTGTTTATCCAGAATATTTGGCTTATTAAAATCAGCTGTTTTACCCGTGATAACCGGCTTCTCCTAGTACCGTATCGTGGTTTCGTTTTCTCATACTGGAGGTAGCCGGGATGTGCAATACGGAGGGAAAAGGATCTTAGGGCTGTCAGTCGCTTGAGGACTCCTGTTGTCCTTGTCAGGACGACCACGACGACGAGGAACCTAACTCCTCCGCGGGTGCCTTTTCTCCTCCCCTCAGCTCTCCCTTTCCCGCAGCCTTCCGGCGGCTTTCTCTGTCCCAACCTAACCGACGTCAGGGCGTCCGCCTTTGCGAAGACTTCCTGGGGTCTCGGCGGCTTCTGCTGCAGGTTTGCCCCACTCGCACTGAAGACCTTCCGCTCCCCGCCGCCCGCCCGCCCGTCCGTCCAGGGCTCAGATCTCTCGCTCTCGGCCCTCCGCCTGGCCTCTGTTTAGGGCTGCCGGGGGCCTTGTCTCCCCCCCACCCGCCCCGCAACCTTTCCCTCCCGGTTCAGGCTTTCGCCTCTTGCTCTTGGCCAAGACTTTGGGGGATGGAGGAAGGGATCCGGCCAGCCGTGATGCTGCCACGGCTGAGCTAGGCGGCTGCGGCGACCGAGAAATTTCGGCGGATCCGGCCCCTGCCCTGCTCGTCTCACCGCCTGCGGCCCAGCTGGGCGCTCCGCCGCCCCCCTCGCCGCCCCCGGCCGCTAATGCAAGGCAGACGTGCAGCATCCCTGTAAAAGAGAACCATAAAAAGCGACTTTTCCCCTCGCGCTGTAAAGAGCTTTTCAAAGCCCCCTGCGGGGCCGCCTGCTGGGCGGGTGGCTGAACCCCGGCTGGGCGGCCCCCGAGACTCCCGATGGGGCGGCCGGCCTCTTCCGAGTGGGGCCTGTCCGGGAAGCACCCCGACACCCCCCCCTTTCCACAGCGGTCTCTTTGCCTGCCTGGAGTTTTATGGCCTCCCCAGCTGAAATGGCCCATAAAAGCGCCGCGCCTGGGAGTGATTAAGGCCCGCAGCGCGGAGCTTTGGGCGGGTTTTGGATTTCACTGCCCGGCCGGGCCGTAAAAGCCTCCTACAAATAGCTCCATGATCCTGCACGCTTGTAAACTTCCCTCTCCCTTTCTCCCTCTCTTGTCTGGCCCTCGCCCCTCCTGCTTCCCACTGCCAGCTGCCAGAGGCCAGCCCTGGCTTGGGTGCTTGTCCGCCTTCTCTCGCAGTTTGATACGCACCCAGCCACCAGGAGCACCTAACTGTGACGGATGGGAGACATTCAGCCTTCCCGGAGCCCTCGGCCCCTATCCACGGAAGGAGTCCAACAGACAGTCGGGAACGCGGCAATCGGCTCTAACGCCTACACAATGTATTGCTTCGGCTTTTCCCAAAGAAATACCTGCAGACAGTGAGTGAGTGAGTGCCTACACTGGATTTGACTTCAGTGTAGGAGCAAGACAGCAAGACCGCGTCTCCCACAATAACATTGTGTCAGCTGCCTTCGGTCTTGCGCTGGGAGAAAGGTGGGTTATAAAATACATACCTACATTCGAAAAGCCTTTCAAATATCCAAGCCGCTTCTCTTATTTTCCTCCCACCCAGATTCATTCGAAGGCAGTCCCGGCAGCGCCGCTCCGAGGCTTCCCGCGGGGCTCAGGGTCTTCCCTGGGGCCTTCTCCGAAAAATCTAAGGTCCTTCTAGAGAGGTTCGTGGACGCCGCCTGGGCCCAGAGCGCCCTGTTTCCTGAAGGCTGCGTGCTGTTTAGACGGCGTTTCCTCGCCCGGCATCTCCCCCGTTTCCCTTGGTTTCTTCTCTTCTTTCTTACCCAAGAGGAAAGGTCTAGCCTGAGGGCTCCTCCGTTTCACAATTAAAGGGCATTTGGGAAATATTCTGCTCTCCTCCCCCCACTTTCCAGTTCAAGAAAGAGAGGAACTAGCGAACGGGAAGGCGCCTCTAGTTTGGACCCCGAACAGCTGGAAGGAGCCTAGGAAAGGAGGAGGAGAAGGCAACCGAGGAGGCGCTGTGCCCTGCCGTCCCCTCCTAAGGCGCGTTCTCCTACTCCCAGCGCAACCTTGTCACGCAAGTCCACCGAGCCGCCCACCCCCACCCCTCCACCCCGCTAAAGGCCACGCCAGGAGCCACCGCGTATCTCGGCGTTTTGTGTCTGGTTGTTTAGCAGACTGGATCCCCCCCCTCGCGCCCGCACCAGCTTTCTGTGGGCACAACGTTCTTCCCATTCGGCGCTTATAAGGCCGCGTGGCAAGTACAGGCACCCAGTCTCTTGAACACCCTCCCTTACACCATGGATATTATTTCGGAAAGTCCAGTGAGTCCCTTCACCTGCTGAAAACGGAAGAGCAGGTTTGCCCGGCCCTTGAGGACAGGGTAAACGGGGAAGGCCGGGGAAGCGTGCCGGCCTTGGGGCCGTGAGCCGCCACGACTCAGCTCCAGAGAGCCTTGGTCGCCTTGAGGGAGCAACTGCGCAGCTTCATTCGTGGCCACTGGCGGGAGTTGTCCGGTTGCAGTCCTTCGCCCCCCCCCCTTTGCCCTTTCCTGCTAGAGCGCGCGCGGGGGGGTCCTTTCCCCTTTCAGATTAGAACCTTCTTTTTTCTCACCAAAGCAAACTGCTGAGGAGTGCGGGCGGGGGGGCGGAGTAGAATGACCGATTTCGAGAGTTTTGGGAGGCCAGTAGGTGGTTGCGTCGCCCGAGCGGAAGACTCCACCGGCTCACCATGAAAAGGCCTTGGTGGTTTTTCCCTCTCTTTTTCCTTAGGGAATTTTCTCTCCTAGGAATAAAATCGAAGAAGAAGCGAAGGGAAAACGTGGCTGCAAACTGAAGCCAAACATGTGGGAGCGGAAGAAAGCGTGTCCTGAGAAGCGCCCCTAAGGCGGAGGAGAAGGAGCCCTTCTCCGGATCCACCCGGAACACGGCAACCGCCTTTTCTCAGAAAGGCAACTTTCCCAGGCGGGAAAGAAACGAAAGCGAAGAAGAGGTGGGTGAAAGAAGGAAGCGGCGGCGGCGGCTCCAAGGACGCGTAAAGCCCTTTGCCGCGTTAGGGGCGAGACGGGAGCCCTCTCCGAAACCGGCCACACTTGAGCAAAATCGGTTCAAGGACAGACGCCACTGCCTCGCCTCTCCTGCTGGACGTAAAGAAATGTTCCCGGCTGCCACTTAAAATGATGTCTCATTTGGGCCGCCTCGAATGCTAATCAGTGCTAATCCCGGGATGAGGAAAGACCGCAGAATTACTCCCTGGTTATTGAAAATTCTTAAAAACAGTTTTCCCATCCGCCAGGGCTCATAA